GTTCAGTAACCTTTCAAACTCGGCTTGGTACCCATCTCTCACTCGGAGCATGTGGGCCATGTGTAGGCCTAGTCTTAAAGTGTTCAGACGACTGAAGGGAAAGGTGTCCATTTTTCCTTTATTCCCACATAATATGTGTTGTTCCTGTGCTTAAAAAATGAGCTGAGTTCCAATTTCCTAAGTTGGAGCCTAGTTGGAGCCCAATTCCGACACGCCGACGAACGCCATGGTTTATAGTCTTCATTTAGTCGTTGCATGTAGCATAGGCCCATCATTCTGTTTTTTGATCGAGTTCCGCCGATGTAGTCACTTAACACCAGTGGACAAAAAACCAGTGCATAAGTCATACTTCTGACATTTTCAAATAAACGGTGGCTCGCAGTCCATATATTTTTGTTCTTTCTTTCAAAGCCATAAATTAAGAGCCCCTAATAAGTGCGTTTATATACCACTTAGGTCCCAATCACGACCGAGCACGACCAATAAAATCCCTATAATTCGCCCCGAGCCTGGCCAGATGTTTAACCGATAACTCTGAACCGACCACACTCGACCCATAGGCTCGACCTCACCTCTTCAGCAAAGTGTTGTCGCTCGGTTTCTCGCTGCCTAAAACATCTATTTATAACTTTTTTTCCAAACACCAAGTCGGTGTGTTGTTAGAGAAGTTTTAAGAGCGACCCAACACAACAGCGGAGCGATTGTAGATTGGCGGTGAACTGTGCCGGAGTACCGTGAGTGCTTGACCTTCCTTGGCCGCGGCACATGTTCTCCAAAAAAAAAGAGACCCGTCCCGGTTACGGTACCTTGGGGAGAGATTAGTCTCTTATTTGTACCCTCTACTGCGGCTTGGTCCGGAGCCATAAATTGCAGCGGGACGATCGGGGGCCGTTTGAGCACCGGAGACGACGGACTTACGACGGCGGGGGCACAACAGGCCTCAAACGGCGCCGACGCAGCCGCTGTGCGCCCTGACGGTGTACCTGGGCACAATACGGTCCGCCGTGCCTGAACTATGCACCGTTGTCGGTATTATACTCATCCCCCTAGTGCAGTCCCCAAAATTGGAAACGCTGCTGCGCCGGTCATTAGCCTTCAGGTGGCGCTCTGCCTATCTCCCTCCATGCGAGGATCGGATTCTTTGATTCGATTATTAGTGCGGTGATTACATGTTTATGTTCCTCTCCAGAGGACGGCTGTAAATCACCTCATTTTAACTCTGCCCTCCGCTTCGGTTAGATCAAGAATGGATCTGCGGAGGGGGGAGACAATATTTTGATGTATTTGAACTTGAGGTTAAAGTCTGCATGCCAACTCTGGGAATGATGAATTGATTTCATTAGTTTCGTGTCAATGACCTGGAGTTTGACTGTATGTTATCTTCTATCAAAGAAATAGAGCCCTTGGTTTAAAGATGAAAGAAAGTTAATGGAGAGGCAGCAGATTTTGAAAATAATTCGGCTGTGAAAAAGGTTGCTTTTATTCAAGTTACAATATAAAGTTTGTATTGTCTTGGTCATACCTTTAATAATCATATCAACTTGCTTTCTTATAAATGTATAATTCACTGTGCTCTTTTTTAAGATGCGATATGCTTAAAAGTACTTGATATTTTATCGCCGTGTCCCAAGTACTGTTGACGACAACTAAAAATGCAAAAAAAAAATCCTAAGAGGAACTTTCGGTCTTGGAGTTATTGTCGCTCCTATATTCAGTATCGGTCGGCTGATAATTTATGTTACACAAACCTCCGTGCCCCGGTGCTAGCTTGTAGCTAGTGGACAAGATACATGTCTGCTCGTCCCCCCGTGAAACGCGCACCGTCATGGACAGGTGTTTCGCCCCGTCAAAAATCAATGAATTCCCCGCTTGCAAAGCGGGGAGCACCCCGCTCGCCACCGTCTCGCCCGCTGAATAGCGTTAGCCTACGGTAGACTGGCCCGGCGCGGGCCGCGGGCGATGATCTATAGCGCGCGCCGTGAATTGCGCTCCGATCCAGGCGCGCACCCCCGTTGGCCTCCCGATTCTCGTTGTGACTCGTGGACGGACGCTGCGACCGAGCGGCGTCGATGACCGTCTTCCGGTGTTGTGGAGTGTTGGGGGGGGGGAGAACTTGAAGGGAGTCCTGAGCAAAAAAGTGGTTGATGAGGCGGGTGTTAATAGGAGGACTGTGTGATCTGGTTCTTGGCTAGCAGGTGACGGTATAGTTATTTTGAGGGCCGATGTGTGCATCCTGCATGATCTACATAAAAGAGACGAAATTAGTCCACAAAAATAGAACTTGGACGGCCTTTCGTAATGCGAGGGAAGGTGACGTGGTTTTGTGAAAACAAAGCCAACAGATGTTTTTATCCCCGCTATAAAATTGGCCCTGCATGTTTTATTAGAATCGCGGTCTCCAGTAGGCCTATTTTCAATTTATTTTGCTTGATCATCCGTCCTCAATTTATGGCATGCATAAACAAAACTTGTTATTTCAGAAAGTAGTGAAACTGTTCTTTAGTTCTTAATACAACCTATATAGGGCCTACCATTTTGCTAAAAAATGACAAATATTGCCTGAAGTCCTAAACCACAAAATGCCTTTTAGCTCTTGATAAGTTGAATGGCACTTCAATTTTCTAGTAACACATTTAAGTTCTTAAATCGCCCGTTGATACTGCAGTTCTCAAATGGGACTCTCGTTCTCAGACGGGTACTTTGGTTTTCAAATGGGCCGTCATATAGGCACCGGAGAGCCCGTTTGTTTCGCATGGATCTGGATCTCGATTGGTGATCCCAAAGCTGGTTCACTTTATCCATTATGTGGGTTCCGCTGTGAGTTCAGTGAAGCAACGTCAGATCACTGATCGCAACTCAGATCCACGTGAAACAAACAGGACCTTAGTCATAGCTAAACCTGTTGTCGGCTCATTCCTTTGCACTCTACAGAAATCCCCCAAATTGTGTAACACCACTACCGCATGTTGCTAGCCCTGTACGTATATATCCAACCAAAGGTGACTGGCTCTCGCCATAGCATGTGCTTGGACCCGGGTATGCCGCCCGTGTTCCCTTTGATCCCCCGCCGTCCGTCACTCATCGGGCCAGCCACTCCCGGTGGGGTGTAAGGGTGACCCCCACAGGGGTGTAAAGGGTGACCGGGCCCCGTTGGGGTTGCAACCGGGCATGCCTACTCCATGTTCCCGACCCTTGGGGCCACGGCACTGGGGGAGAGAGGGAGAGAAGGTATTGATATGGTAACGTGGGAGGAAAATGCATCGGCCGGTTATTAATGCAAGTGCCAACGACGGCTTGGACTTGTTTTCTGCTCCTCGCGTGTTTATGCCTGGGTAATTGCTTTCGAAATGTTTGTTGCCTGGCCTGGTTGCCTGGTTAGGAACGGTACTTTTGAGAGCTTGTCGTTACCCGACTGGATGTTATGCATCATTCACGACGCGGTGGAAAGATGCCGCAATAGACCCTTTCACTAATTAATTCACAGTTATGCAGGCATGCGCACTAATGGCCTTGGCGGCAAGGGCAATTGAAAATGTACATGGGTGCGATTTTGATCATTTTCTCTCAGGTTTTCTGGCTTTGTTCGCCATTTTTTTTCTTTTAGTGCTCTGTAAAAAGACTTAACGATCGTGATTTTTCCTGTTCGCACGAGATTAAGCGGGAAAAATCCTGCTTAGATTAAAAACTAATAGCAAAAACGATTTAGTGGGATTTCTGGAAAAAAAATGAACAAAGCCTGAAAACCTGAGAGAAAATTATCAAAATCGCACCCCTGTACATCTTCAATGGCCTTTGCCGCCAAGGCTATTTGTGCGCATGCGTGCATAATTATGAACTTATTAGTGAAAAGGTCTATATTTCTGCATATTTTGAAGTTCCATAAGGGTAGATAGAAAAGGAGGCCACACTGAACGACACGCGTCATATGCCCATTGTACTCAAAAGAGTACATGTTGCTGGTTATTTCACTTGTAAACTTACAGTTTATCCCATCATAGTTTCACAACAGACCGCTAAGGGAAATGTCCGAATGATCGTGCGTGTGGTTTCAACTCAAAAAAAAAAAAAACTCCCGGAATCTCTCGACACCAAGCCGAGCTCCGGTCAAGTGTTCGCAACCCCTTTTCACTGGGCATGTTTCTTGATGTACGACACAGCCTTAGCCCAGACGGATTGGCGATTGGTAGGACTTGGGGGGAGTAGGCTCGCTCGCCTGCCAGCCTACTAGCCTGCTACACGGACAGATGCGATTGTCATTGTCGCCCTGAGTCGGCAGACTTTCTTTCTTCGTTTTTTTTTCCTTGTGGTCGATTCTGGCGGTTTCTCTCTTTGTGTTCAGCCTGCTGACAGCCATTAAGTCGCCTGGGGTTTGGCTCGGGTGGCACCGTCATTTATTGTAGCTGAAATCAAATACGAAAACATTTCTTCTTAGTGAAAATAGCGGCCTCGCGCGCGTACCGTACCGGTCAAATTTAAACATAACCTTAGCTTTTCTAAGTCACAAATTCTTTCAGTTTTTGTAAAGCAGGTGCATTAAAGAAACCAAATCGGGTCTCCATACTTTCCTGTGGCTAAAGATCTTCGTTAGCGCTACGAGACCTCTCATCTGTAATTAGCCATTAACAACTAAGTGAGATCGAGGCTAAACTGTGAGGGCGCTCGGTCTCACTCTGCAATGTAGCTCCCGTGATCCTTTTTCAGTGCAAGTCAATACAGAACATGCGCAGTCGAGAGATTGCATCACGATGTTTGCGCAGTGGGACAGTCTAAATAAGGCCTGTTGTGACTCCTTTCAGATTCTTGGGGTCGAATCTGACATAAGGGGATCCAAACCTTTTGAACTCATCAATCGAGCATTGTATACACAAAGAAAAGGCTTTGGGATTGAATCGAAGGTAATCGTTGGCCATTACACTTAACATGGAACTGACTGTCATTTTTTTCAGGCTTTCCGCATTTCGAATTCACAAATAGTGCAATCTGTTCCCATTTTTCTACAGGTTTGGTTTCAGAACCGTAGGTCAAAGGAGAGGCGTATGAAACAACTCAGTGCCCTGGGAGCGAGACGACACCACTTCTTTCGAAACCCAAGGCGCATGCGCCCACTTAGAGGGCCTTATGACGTAGAAAACAACCCGGATGTCATGGGTAGCCCGCCATTCAATTATGACCACGGTAAGAAATGGAAAGCGCTTTGCACAGTTTTAATGAAATTTAATATTTGCGTTGTTGATTGCCAATTCGCCTCTAAATTTGCCACAGCCACGTTGTTTCCAGCTAATCAAGGGGATAGGCCTAATCGAGTATGTTCAGTCCAGTCAAACGATCGGTTTTAGTGCCCTATTGTCTCGACCTTGACAAAACCCTGCGCGTGCACTGTTCATCCAAAATACTGCACACAAAACTATTTCCTGTTGAACATGATGAAAACTTCAAGGTGAGCTCTTGTTGAAGAATTGGTCTCATAGTTATAATCCTCACCGCCATTAGAGATCACATCAAAATAAAATTACGGGAAAAAAAGAGTTATTCACTGCTTACGATAGTGAATGCTTCCTGTAAAAGCAAGTCCACCGATTTCATGACTGACTGAGGCAGCAGACATGAAGAGCACTCTTGCTTCTTTAACACGCCGTCTCACCATAAAGCTAAGGAGCACCGATTAATCAAAACTACATACAGTTGGAAATTGATCGTAAGGAAGGAAAGAAATCTCGGTTAATGCTCCTTCATTGCATATTAATTTGCCGACGACTGTCTAATGTTTATGTATTATTCAAGGAGCCCGTCGAGTGCAGACGTGTTTAGATTTATTCGGCGTATACATATACAGTCATTTGTCACTGGGGAGAAAAGGCCAGTCGTTTAACGTCGTGAAGGCGTGTGTGCGGAGCTGGGTTATAGTGTACTGAAATTCTGATCATTTGAATAATACTGAAAGGAAAGGGTTGCAGTTGTTCAGCGGTGAAATTTTTAAAAATTGAAGTTTGAAGTGAGATTGGCAATTGCGACTGTTATAATTGTTTAAAATTCTTTCTGGACAAAAGTGCCAGTTACGTCATTGTGGGGTACCATACATCGAAATAACGTTTCCTCCTTTATAGGGTCTGCTCTGTTTACGTCACAGTCTCGTTTTTCGTACAAATGGCTGCTAAAACTATGGTTGGCCGTCGGGACAAAAGTAAAAGAATAATTTATAAATTATTGAAAAATCCCACGCAACTTTCACAACACCAGATAATAATACACGTGTTACTAAATACCAATTGAAATACACCTGTAACACTTTTTAAAATCAACGAAACAAAATCCATTTCGAACGTACTGGAGGTAGAATCCAAAACCAACCAAAAGGTGATATTTCTGCAAACTTTGGCCACCCATTCAAGTTCTAGGCAAAATGAGAGTGGTCTATATGCGGGTTTGCATGAATTCTCTATACAGACGCGCAGTAGTTTAACCACTTGGTACTGAAAAATCAATATGTATGTACGGAAAAAGAGAGGATCGGTATTATATTTTATTTGGAAACACAGTCCAAAAGATTTGCCTGTTACAAATTGAACTCACATTCTTCAGGGGCATTTTTCGTGTTTGTACTCAGCCTAGCTGTTTTGGTTTGAAAACTGTACACTTTAGCCTAGATGGGAGCAAGTCTGCAGCATCTGCTACCATAGATTGTGATACATGTGAGCTTCAAACTATTTCAAGTTGAATAGTGCTAATCTCCAGAGATCCACGTTTGGCTGCCTCCAAAGTTCATTTAACACCCTGCGTCGGGCGACACCCTTGCTCTTAACACAACCACCTTTACCCCAGGGACAGTCGCCCGCGCGACGCCATTTTCCGCCGCAAGTCAGGCGTGTGCCAGTTCGGCGATGTATGCGGTGCAAAGAGCTAGAGTCACCACCTCGTACATTCGAGCATAATGATGAGCGATCCTTGGGACTTTCACACCTTGGCTGCTCATTATGCAGGCTAGGAGTTCGTCAACCTTGTACAGCCGAGCTTTGTGAAGAGCGACCATGCTGTCACACATTATACCTGGATGGGGCATTGTGTCACAAAAAGGCGGGAATAGTGGGGTAACTTAGAGCTAGGACACAGATTCAGTTTTCAAAAGAAATGCCGTATTTATACACTCGAAAGTGTGCCACTCAAAAGCCCATAGAACCAAAAAAGTTTGACCATTCAAATCTACGCAGCGGTAATACTGTGAAAAGATTCGAATTCAATGAACAAAAATTTGACAAATGCACGTTCAGAAAAAAAGGCCTTGTAATTTCTGGCTTGTTTGAGCATGGTAGCATAACTCGGACGGGGTTGACTTGTGATTTATGGACAGGCGGGCTTTGTTGGGTGAAAAAGCCGAAACACTTGCTGAGATATAGAAAGCGTATCGCGCCATAATGAGCGTAAGCCATGTGTGAGGCTGACGAAAAGTTGGCTTCTGTTCTCCCGTTAAAAGCCACGCTCGATCGCTTCTCGATCCCCCGGACAATTGCGCTACCATAAAGTGCCGAAAAGAGATCAAAAACAGGATAAAAAATAACAAATCCTAGGCCTGGGGGCCGAAAGCAAACTGGACGGGGGAGAAAAAATGATGATTGTATATGATTGAACAGTTAGTGAGATAAAATATACTTTGTTCAGACTGTTTTGAGGTGTAAACGAAAATTGTGGGGGTTGATGCAATTCTGCACCGTCCTTGGGGAAGAAATGCAGGTATTGTGTAGTCTGTGCGCGTTCCAAACATCTGCGTGATGCGGACATGGCCGAGGATTTCATATATAGCGTTATTCTGCTGCAAGGTGGAAGCGGGCTTATCACGAGCCTAATGCACGACTCAGCAATGGCTACTGAGTACACTACAGGGAAGGCAGCCAAGGTCCATTGATCATGCACAAAAAAACGCAGCAATAGGTTTTTCATTCCCAAGTCAAGGGTGGGGGGGAGAAAAGCTGGACTCAACAAAATGTAGTCACCTCTTGCGTTTGTCTTTATCCCACTTCGATCTAACTTAACAGAAAGTGGTGAATATTCTTTTGTGGACGCATATTATGCTCCAAACTGGAAAACTTCCTGTTTCTAACTGAGAACGTTGTAACATGCACTGGACGTATGCCTCCCTTGGAAACGTTTACAAAAAACAAATAGGAGCTGTCGTCAACTGGTTGAAGTGTGTAATACAGACGAAACAACTGGTGTTTAGTTTACATAATGCATGTGTATCTACTGCTTGAATCCAGTTTGAACGTTGGAGGCGTTTTCCCCGCTAGTTCACTTGTTTTGAAAAACACCTAAAGCTTTTTTTCCTCAAAACACCTGTGGGTAATAATGTGCTTTCTCTGTACGTTTGGGGGACTTCTGAATCGGTGCAACAGTCCGTGAAAACTTTCTTAAATTCTCGATCAATCATTCTTCGGCAGAGATGACAGTCTGTCCCCGAGGCTCGCCTGCTGTGGGCCCCCGTACCCACTGCACTTTTGTGCGCTGAAATCCGGCGAACAAAACCCGGCCAAGAGCTGCATCAATGCACCCATTGTTAGTCTTGTTTCAAGCTTGAAGTGCGATCAACACCGAAAAGTGCACGCTGCACCCACGGAAAATAAAGCAAACTTTGTGGTTGGTGTCCACTGCGACCCAGAGCTCACCGATAAACAATGATACATTTTCCACACTTCCTTTCACCTCTCTATATCTAACTGGAACACACAGAGTGTCTGTCAAATTACATGTAGCACATGTATACAATTCCCATGTGTGTATTGTTTTCCCTCACTTGGTCACATTGCCTTTTAATGAAGAGACTGAAAAGATATTGGGCGTAAATAATTATTCATTCAAGAAACAGCCGTCGCACCACATGCACCCATAAAGCCGATGGTAGAATCATTGGCTCTTGTGTCTCCAATGGGGGTTATGGAGGTTAGCGCGCCCCCAACCTTGCAATCCTTTGATGCGCCGCCATGGTGCAGGTCCCGCTGGTCCTTGTCGCGTTACATAGTGGGCGGTGCTTAACCTGGCGGTTCCCGTTTGTGCGAGTCCTGTGGGATCACAAAAACCTATTGCGCGCCTTAAGTATCAAAAATAGATTTTACCAAAATTCCATAAAGATTGAATGTCGTCATATCAGGTATATCGGCTGCTAATTTGCTGTCTTTAATTCACTCCTTTATATTTTTCCTTATCACAACGTGTCTTTAATTCTTTACTCCAATTTCTATCCTGTCTTTCAATCGGTTGAGCTGTGTATTTGCTTTTTCCCCCTTGATATGCATGATAGTTGATTTGGAGGGAAAGTGGCACAAGGAAAAACCAATTCAGGCTATTTTCTCACATGCAACTCATTTTGAGTTAGATGTTGGCTGGCTAAATTTCTCCCATCTACCGGACAGAAGAAGGTGTGCTGACAAACAAAGTTCTCCTCTCACCCGAATTTCCCCCTTTATTACCCATTTTCAACCCACCTTCCTTTCATAATTCTTTGGCTGATGGTTAATTCTTTACCAATCAGGCAATTCTTTACCTCCGTACCGCGGCGAAATCCCTCATCAAACACGGCGCCGTGACACCCTGGCAGCGTCCACACGATGCGTGTATGCACACCCGCTCGGTGTAATGTTAAATAACGTGACATTAAACATTTACATGTCATCGGCTAATTTAGGGGCAGCAATGCAGCGCCTGAACCGTTACCTTCTTTGTGTCATTTCGAATCGCTATGGTCTGTCGAATATTCCTGAAAAACCGCGCAGCGTTGATAATCCCTCGACTAAGTTGTTTCCTCCGCGTTTTTCCCAACTAAGCCATAAAATCGACTGCTTCCACGTGTTTTAATGTCAATTATCACATTGTTCCGTTGGTTTTATCGTCGCCAGTATTCCACGCATTTTGGATGTGAAACGGAACGCAACAGTGATCACGTTCTGCATCGTCATTTTTCCAAGGGAATTCGCCAGGTGCAAATGGAAGACAAAGTCTTATTAACGATCCGCTGGCTTTGTTCACATCAGTTGTTGCCAACAAAATCTGGATGTCTTTTATTGTTGGGGGACAATTGTCTTTACGAGCAACAGATGGCATCTAATCCATCCGCATTAGGACGAGAATAAAAATTACATTACCACATGATGTGACTTTTTCATGCAAAAAGTCATATTTTAATCAAATATTTTTTGGGGGGGTCTTCGATTTCTACGACGACATTTTGCCGCCTTTTTGTGCCCCTCTATCCCTGGGGCTAGAAAACATCATGGTTGATTAAAAGCCCGCACGAATCGGGCAAATCCGGCCAGTTTATCTCCACCGTAACGGGTTGCAACTAGAAAAATAATTCGCAGATGCCCTGTGGGTACTGTCGGCCGTGGCTCGGCGTCTATGACGCGGGATCGATATTATGAACGACACCTGATAAATTTTGCGGTGTAATGTGAGAAATCAGTCCTCATTACAGGGTAAAATCGTTGTCCGGAGCAGGGCTAGTTCCGGGTCAAGACATATTTAACTTTCTGCTATACTTGGCCTCTTTTGGGATTTTGCCTTTTGTTTTTTCTCTTGTGAAATTAAAAAATGAATTTTACTGAAAAAGATTACTATTTAGAGAATGTTCCTTATGCTAATGATGATAGGGCTTACGACGCTTGTTTTTGTGACTGACATGGAAATGGGCAGAAAAGTCGCGTGCGTCCGCATACAAATCCACAAAAACGACATGATCGTCTTATTTCGCGTTGGTGTATAACTCATCCCACATGGGTGTACGTGTACGGTATACTGGATGTGCGTTTGATCGTTGGGCATGTTGGGCAGGATTGTAGTGCACCTGCCAGCGTGTCAAGTACCAGTGAATACCCGAGTATTCTCTCCATACGATTTTCACAGGCACCAATAGCACGACCAGTTCATTCCAATGTTCAGTGTTATCTTCTAAAACACACTGGCCTCCCACATTATACACAAAACTCGGTGAAAATATTCATTGTTTTTTAAAACTGTTAACACTAGAGATTTTGTGCTAGATGTTTAAGGATGATTTCCTTCACTGTTCCCAGGTCATTTTACAACCCCAACATGCCTCTTAACCTGTTTTGCAGAAATGGTTGGAACTCTGTGTGGACTGGCTTAGTCCACACAAGGTTCAAACAACCCACATTATGCGGACGTCTTTTGTTCACGGGTCCACACTTGGTATGTAAGTTCTGTACACACTGTCCCATAGACCCAGCACAGGTACTTAGCACCGAGGACAATAGACTAACCACTGAGGACAAGGAAATATCCTTTGCTCCCGTTGTGTTCTGTCCTCTGGAGAGATTTCTTAACGCAAGAATAAAACTTGGTTCAGCAGCTGTCGTCATGTAATATTCCACTAAAAAAAATGACACGAGGACCCAATGAATTCCCGGCAAAGCCTGAATAGGCTTTACAAAATGCGTGCCACTGCGTCAAGCTGACGTGCCGGGAACACCCCCCCTCCCCAGAAATGTGGTGTATTTTTCAGCATACGGTACCCTGTTCGGCCTAATGGCGTCGGTGGTTCCGTGCGTGCCCGTTTCTTGTCGTCATTTCCACATCGACGCAGCTGGCAAAGTCGTTGGCCACTCGACATAATTCACAAGCCCTCCTGTATCGCTAACCTGAAAGCATTCTGACACCGCTTGAAGCCTTCGAGCTCAACACGCACATACCCCTGGCCTTTTGTTTTTTCTCAGACTGCATTTCAAAATTCAAGCCGCCACTTCGGCCACTTCGCCCCCTCCCCAGCGCTTACACACTCCGACGCACTTTGTATCCTAAGTATTTCACACATTCTTTTCACACCGTCTGGCAAAAAAGTATGCGATTCGCGTGAACGAGCCTACTCGTGCATGGGTTCAGTTCGAAGTTGTTTAATAAGAAAATGGAGAGGAATGCGACTGGCTTGTTTTTTAGAGGTGTGATCGACGAATGATGAATCACCATTGGATAACCTGTAACTCACCTGTACCATCTTGAAAAAAGTATCACTCTGTCATGTCAAAAACGCAACAAAAATGCATTATAATGCAGTGCAATACTGAAAAATAGTTTTAATAAAAAAGTGTTTTCTAAACTGTACCTTTCGAACGTAAAAGCACAGAGCCTTCAAAGTTTTATTTCATGAGTATTGTTTCAGGGCAATTACATTGATTAACGTTAATACCTGTTTTATACTTTTTTCTGCAAAAGTGTTTGGAGACTGTCGTACAAAATTCATGTCAGATGAGAAAGAAAAGTTCTGTCGATCAAAAGAGGTCGTTTCATTTGGGGCGGTTCACCGTTTGATTTAGACATTCAAATCTCAATTCCCCTTCCCCGCAGTCGACAGAGCCCGTAGTCTTGTTCTGTCAACTCGAATATCCAAGGCACCCATCATTCCGGCGTTTGATTGATGTATCTGGCAGAGACCGGAAGAATACATCAAATTCCAGGCCGTGCATCCGCGCCGTTTTCCCCGTCACGGCCTGGCAGTCACCGTCGGCAGATCCGCGTAGTTCGTAGTGTGGGCCCTTTCGGCGGCATCTGCCTCGTGGACTGCGCTGTGCCTAGAAAAGTGTTAACCCAACGCACTGAACGTCCCAGGGGGATGCTGACGCAAGTTGAGGAGAATGAGAACGAGAGGGGGGACGGGGGACGGGGGAGAGCCTGCCAGGATCCTCTCCCCTTGAATGGACCATGGGTGGCTGCGTCCATGCCAGGCCCCCCTTCAGTTCGTGCCACTGGAGTCCCCAGAGGGTCAGCTTGGGATGCGTGGGCCTCCATGCGTGCATGCAGCCGTGGACTAATGCTCCACGCCGGGGATACCGCTGCTCCCGAGGGGGATGCTGGGTGAGAAGACAACCGTGCGCACGCGAGATCTCCCCCGTTATGCTCTACCGAGTTGCCGCTCGCTTTTCGCGGGGCTCCATCTGTGACCCGCTAAAAATACATGTATAGCCAAGAAAATAAAATGCGACTGGAAACCGCCATCCATGGGAAAATGCCGTGTGGGGATAGCTTCACTAATCCCCGCATTAAAGTTGGAAACAACGTGACTGTTTGCGCAGTAGTGGTGCAGCCAGTAATGAACACAAAACAAACTTAAAAAGCAATTCCATGCATGAATACTGTATTGGTCTAAATGCCCGAGAGATGTTTGGCCCAAAGAACGTCCCATAGTAATTTATTTAGCACTATGGAAAATGAAATGAAACAGCTGTGGATTCTACAAGAAGGTGAAGTAAAGATGTTGAAGGCAAGATCAAAAGCTTGAACGTTAGGAGATTTTTTAACCCCTTGTTGTGGGTAACATGCATGACCGTCTTTTGTGAAAATGATTTATTTTGAAGAACTGGAAACTGTCTTTAAAACTCATGATCAGCATGTCATGCTCTTAACGAGATTGATCCCCAGATTCCAAGTACTGGATCATAATAATGAATAATAATATTATTATTCTTCACTCTTCTTCTCGGTGTGTTTGCATTTAGATGGAGCGCCTGGTGATTACTATCCACAGGGTTACTACGACTTCTTCCCTGGTCACCAGCCTCCCCCGGACCACCAGGGAGAGCCGCTCGCCTACATGGGCACTCCGGTCTCCCAGCACAACCCCCTGACCAGCCTGGAACAGCCGTTGCATCCCAACATGGGTGGCCTCCCTCCGGAAGGAGCACAGCAGTTCGGCATCCCCCACAAGGAACTGAGTCCGAGCCCGGAGCCTCCGATGTCGATCGGGCACAGCGGGGACGGGTACCGACAAGGTGACAGCCGGTTCATCGTCACGAGGGCCGGCCTGCCTCAGGGAGGGCCCCTCAACGGGTACGGCAGGGGTGTCACGCAAGAACTTGTTGGTGAGGTGTGGTGACCCTCAGACACGAGACTATAGCACAACTTCACGCAAACCATAAATAGACAGTCCAATCAGGCCACTGGGTGCACGTACCAATGTAGCAGATGCAGACCACTACATCACAATGTGACTCAATTACCTCTTAGCCTTGACTGGATCATGAGATTTTGTGTTGGTGTCGTAGCTGGAAAATAGACTAATGCATCAGACCGAGCCATGAGGAATATGTGGTATCAACCATGAGGTTAAAGGCTAGGATAGGCATCTGCACATCAGAAACAGACTTTTTATAGTTTCTTCCATGGCGTAATGGCACCTTGCGTAGCCTCACTCATTTGTGGACCTCAGCCATGGGAGGTTTTGTCTGCCTGTCAAACATTGGCTCGGACAACCAACACTTGGGGCGAGTTGCTCGACAGATTTTGGGGAAAGCCAGACGCCAGAGCTGCATTCAAAATAAGTTGGGATTGGTTAAGAGGTTCCCGTAATGAGGCCTCATAATACAGTACCTCACGTTGTGCTTGTCTTGCGTATGTTTGGCCGCTTTCAAATCATGCTGTCTCGTGGCTACGTCTTTAGTTTCTGCCGTTAACGCGCTACAGCTGAGCTGCTTTAGCCGCAGACAACAATGCACTTGGGACAAGGCCTTCTCAACACTCAATCATGAGACGTTTCTGAAGTTTTCATTTCATATCGCTAATTATTTTGTGGGTTAGATTATTGAGCACGAGAAAGGGAAGTTTAACATTTTTCAACCAACAGCAAAAAGATCATGATTCGAGTTTACCAAATTATGATATCACCTCCCGCCTTGTTAATGCAAGGGATGTTACTTTCAACATTTGGACATTTCCTGTGGGTTTAGATGTTAATTTTTTCCCTGTAATTTTTAAGCAAACATCTTTTAATGTGATCAATAACTCCTACTACTACTCGGAACGTTTGCTGACAGCAAAGTTGCTTAACTGGCGGAGCAACATATGGGTTGTGTGTGACCATTCATCAAAAAACACCATGCGATCTTGACGCAAATCACCAAAAATTCCCTTAAAAATGGACCAAAAGATAGAGATCAGCATCTTGTTTTATTCGACTTGCTGTTCAAAGTTATGATAAATCATTATTGTCGAGCTATTTCGCTACTTCTTGTCCATTATTTTGTTACCATTCCTTGTGAAGATTGCTATAAATCTCAGTACTAGTTTGATTTGATAGGATGGTTCATCCGACATCTTATGTGAAGACGATGACGTGGATTTCTGTTTCTCAGTACTTTTCATAAGTCTGCATTCATTCTTGTATGAGTTTCAACGTCTGTGGTACAGTAAAAAGAGTTTTACACAATGTAAACATTGTAATGTATGAGAGAACCTATTTTTTCTGGTCAATGTTCCACCGTCAGTGTTATATAGCATGTAGCAAAAGTCACGAGATTTATGTCAGCCAATCAACATGTTTCACTTCACGCGTCAAGTTTGATTTTGTCAATCAGACGGCTGTAATCCCTCAGCTTAGAAATCTGATTGGTGGTTATTGTTTGTGAATGACGCTCAGCTGGCAGAAGTGTCACGTGCTTAAAAGGGTGACTTGTAATTGGATGTCAGTGTAAACTATGAAAATAATTTGGTCTGTCTTTGCGAGGTGGGACGGAATACTTGTATATTTGTGGCCACTGGTGCAAGATAATAAAATGTACTATTTATGTCAAGTAAAATTCAAAATGGCCTGATATTTTCTGTTCTTCTCCACTAATTGCTCGTCTCGTGGTTTATGTCGTTCTCTCTACTGACCCGAGTTAACCTTCATCACGTGACGACAGCGTTAGTATCCGTAGGCCTACTCCGAAGCTAAGCTGGGACAGAAAACAACATTTATTAACTGAAAACTTCTTAAAGGTAGCATACATCCAATCTGCAAGCCGCTCACTTTGCTGGTGTGTTCACGGCAACAAACGAGGGCCTGCCGTATGACGTGAAATAATTTATACAAGACAGCCCAGTTTTCGCTTGTCTTTGATCGTCATTTGAAGATTACATTAAAACCTTTGTTTTCCGCATGGGCCCTTGTAATTTCCGTTACAACAGGTGAATAGGGACAGAGTAGCTTTTCCAGATGCCTTAAATAGAACGAATGCCTTTGGAGGGTTGCGTTTCGTTTTTTAACGGAATTGGCAATGTCTGTGGAATGTCTGCAGAATGTCCTGAAATGTCTTTGTCAACACGTTCCCCCCCATGCATACCTAATTACATAACCACAATGATGAGGAAGAGTACTACTGTATCCGAATCACTTGACCCTGAGTGGGAAAAACCGACACATGTACCTAGTCATAATTATGTATACCCGTATGGAAGCTGCTAGCAGTGGCCGTAGCCGTGTCCATAGTGTGTAACACAAGTAACTGCTGGCCATAGTCAAGTCATTTGGATACGGCTTAGGTTACAGCACGGGGAAGCTGGGTGCATGCAAGCTTACGATGGGTAACAGAGATGCAGTCAGACTCACTTCATTTGGAGAATTTTAATAGCAAACTACATGGGAGGAGGCGCAGAACTACAACCTGTTGGCAGTAATAATCGGCCGAGCCTGGTGTAAATCCTGGACGAAGAAAACAGTGGCTAGAGGTAGCGTTTGTCGTCGTCATGTCATGGGATTGGCAGATAGCTCTACAAGGCATGCAGACGTGGAGCTGTTGGAAGGTGGGTAGTTGCAGACGTATGTATGAATTAGCCCTCGCACACCATGGAGACATAAAAACACCCTCCATGCTCACACTTCGACTGCGTGAAGCCATTTTCTGAATGTGACATTAAACGAACCATAGTTACCGCCGAATTACAAGAACGCTATCTGTACCATGTATGGGCCTTTCGGTACCGATACTTCAGCCCATATGAAGTTCCTTACGGTCCACTGGCAGGATTCTAGTTTGTTAAACATTGTAATGAAAGTGTGCAGGTGTTGATAAATGCAGGGTGTGAATGGTTGCATCACCTGCAATTTCCCTTGTCTGGTTGACCCCAAATACTTAACGCCACGATTTGGCAAATACCATGGTACAATTAAGTCTCCTCCTGAAGATCAGTCTGGTGTGTTCTTAAAACGGTGTAGATAATAAATGAGATGCAAGTACCTCGGGATGCATTTGAGCCAGGAATGTCCCTACACAAACTAAGGTAATTCCAAATACCACTACTGTAACAGTAGGCTGTGGGGTACAGACAAGGGATGATCATGCTCGTCAGATGGCCAATGAAAACAATTTAGAGGGCGCTATTCACAGTGAGCAGGCCGACGCGAATCCATAGCGCTCCCTACAAAGTACATGAATAATTTTGCCATCTGTAACTGCAAGGACCAGTTTTTATCTAGTTCGATTCTGACGTTATGGAGTTCTGTCTATAGAGTTAGTCATGAATTATGTAAGTGGCCCAATAAAAGTTCTGACAACGCTTTTCACGGTCATCCCTGATTTTGTGGTGGAAAATGTGAATATTTTCATCTAAACGTATTGGCAAAAGTCGCACCGTATTGCGCGTCGACCACTGGCATCCGTATTTTTTTTTCAGATCGTCTACTTTAAAGAAAACATTGCGGTGGCCGCTTTTTAGACAAATTGGATTCGATAGAGTCAACTGGCACAAGCTCTCTCCCAACATACGCAGCCTATATTTCAACCCTCTGCATTAGCACAATGAATTCTATATGGCCAAGCGCATTATCGGCAGCCAACAAACACGCATTGGGGGCCAAATTTAATCTAAACATATCTATAAAGGTTGTGATGTTTCAGCTGGTGGGGTTTCCTCCCCTCCGCTCCTGTTTACAGAGCCCTGATTTTGGGGAGGTCCGTGGCCAATTCCTCGGGGAAACTTGTGCGCAGAAATTCGGTCATGAGCCCGGGCCGCAGGAGCACAGTGTTTCTCGGTATAGCGTTGTCGGGGTGTCTGCCGCTGCTATAAGTTGACGCTGAGCTGGGAGGCCGAAAATAGGCATTTGTCCATTAGTTTGCTTTTGTTGTGAGTCATTTTGCTCGCATGAAAAAAGAGCCACTGAGAGTTGGTACTTTCATTAAATCCCAGACATACACTTTGCTGCATTTGAATCGAGGGCGTAAAAATGTACAGTTATTTTCGGAACAGGGAATCTAGCAGTTTGAGTTTCAGCTGTTCGAGGATTATATACTTATACTGAGTTTCCATTTCCAGAAATTTGTTTTAGATTTTCAGTTCCGACGAAAACAAGTAGAGATGGTTGGAATGAATCATCTGCAGCTTATGTGGGACTGAAAGGTACATGTTTTAATTTGGCAATACAAAGTACATGTACATCGTATTTGTGTGTCAGATTTCCTGAACTCCCTGGTTCAAATCAAATACCGCAAAGATGAATTTTTCATGTTCAATTTAAAAGTGGTTTATTTACCTTGACAATTTTGACATATTTCCCTTGTAGTTAGTTGATATAATCAGCTAGTTTAACGACTCATCTTTATCTTCATACTGTACAGCAGCTGCCATACCCTAAAAATATCCGAAAATCTGGATCCAAGTTTACCACAGTAAGAAAAAGTGTGTTCCTCCATAAATTATGTTTGCGTCTCCCTCAAAATCATTGGCATATTTCAAAGTGACATGTTTGCGTAGTTTGCATTTTGGTTCGTCACAAACACTTGCTTGTCTTTCCGGGATGTTTACATTTTGCGTCACGGTTATTGAAGTTTGCCGCCAAAAGAAAATCAACATGGCGCAGCTTTTGGTTACGTTTCTTTTAAAGCGACAGGTACAAATAATCGACGTATGATGAATGAACATTGTGCTACACAAGAAATGTTTACCCTTGAATCACAACCACATTTGCATTGTTGCATCGTCACTTTTTTTTCTCATTTCCCCGCTGAAATTCGCGATAAGAAAATTCCTGCGTCTGTATCCTTCGCCTTAAATCTTCATCTCTTAAGCCCCTTTGTCAATAGTGTGGTTTTAGGTGAACACAAACCTACAATTATGTTTTGGCGCCATGTGAAATCCGACTCTGTGGTTAATGTTTTAACATTTGTGGAATTTTGGGGCCTCGTGCGAAACTTCTCCATCCGCGCCGACTACGATTTGGCAATTTCAGTCCGGATGACGCTGTGTGTATCAGTGCTGGTCAAAAAATACGATACAGTATTTCACATGTCAACTGTCATGCACTTTCTCACAGAAAGTTGGGCGGATGATAGTCAGACCAACAATGGGCGTTTAGTCACCTAATTTTTTGTAGTGGTTCTCTATAATTAAACGTAGTTTTCCATTGTGTCCGGACATTTAATGAAATATGTGAGCCACTTTGAAGGCCATTCCCATGATAAAGTTAATGAAAGACACTGAATATAAAAATGTGGAAAATTCTTGCGATTTTAAACAGGCCTGAAGTCTGTAGAGCGTGTATGTCTTCTCGCTCACACTAATTATGACCACCACTTCCATAAATATGTCTTGGGTCGGTTATTTTCAATAGCTGTTAACATTTAAGAGTGTTTATCTTTTCTGAAGTGCCGTTTGCTCTGCACGCCCAAACCGGTCCCCACCATGCACCACCGCTGCGTGTTATCACTCAGACATGCCTGTGATGACGCGTCTGTTCGGGTGGTCATGATAGCTCGCTGCACAGCACGTGTCATCGTGGCGTCTGCGTATACACAATTGAGTGAACCGACCCAGTTTCTGAATTGGCGTATAGCCGGGGCTGGGGGTTGATTTCTATCCCAGTTAAAAATCGAAAGAAATCGAACTTCTCCATTGGTTGTAATATGGCCAATCAACTGTGCACTTTCACACAAAATGATCCTCCTCCAAGTACCTTCCTGAAGTTAAGTTGGCCGGAGTCAGGCTACCAATCCAATGGCTGGCAAGAGAGGACAAACTGAGAAAGAAAAATTGATCAGCAACCACGGCATCAGCTAAAAACTCAATCTCTGTGGAAATTCTGATGCTAGTCAACCTTTGAAGTCGCAGTTTGAGCTCAATTCTATATCGTACATGTTAATCTCCCCCTTACTACCATGTGTAGGCTTAACCTTGCGCAGCCGGTCCAATGGCATAGCCAGGGGGGGGGCAATTCCTGGTGCCCCCAGGTGCCCCCTCACTAAAAAAAAAAACCCGGATGAATGGATAATGAAGAAGGCTAACAAAAGCTTGCCCCCCCAAAAAAAACCAATGAAAGTTGATGCCCCCATAAGATGCTGGTGCCCCCCTGTGGCCCCCACTAGTAAGATCCTGGCTACGCCACTGAGCCAGTCTTGTCAAGAGTTTGGGTCGTGGCTCTTGTGGATGTTAATTTCTAGAAAACTTAGCGTGAATGTCTGCATGTGGCGAGTGTTTTTATGTCATTTTCTTCCCCGCTGCATACTTGCTCATTACTCGTTAATGGACCGTGAGGTTGAACTGTGTATAAAAAGAGGACTTTTTTAACAGTATAACCTTTTCCCGGTTCTCGTAATCAAAATCTCGAGTATTTGTGTTATTTATTTTGCATGCACCAGTCTTCCGATAATTGAATCGTCAACAATACCTGAAATGTCAGTTCTCGTGTGGCTAGAAAATCTCGAGAATGCATAACAGCTTTTGTCACTGGTCAGAAATATGACCGAGGCAGTGTGTCCGGTTGGTCTTGAGTCCTTTGGACATTTTCTCAAGAGGTTGTTCAGTCTAGCAGACCTTGGGTCTCAAGCGCCTCC